TCGGGGCGAAATTATACGGCACGCTGAACCACTATTTTCAAAGCCGTAACATTACGGGATTAAAAGATGCAATGAAACTGATATGTGCAGATAGAATGAAAGAGTTGCTATCAAGACATACTCTGGAATTTATTTTGTCACAAGAGCAAGCAGCTTCCTGCATGAGTCCTGACGTGTTGGCACAAACGATCGACAAATATGAAGCTGCCATGAACATGAAAGTTTCGAGCGACAATACATATATGCCGGATACAATCGTCTCGAGAAAATGAGCACCAGATGTATAGAAGTAGTAACAACAAATCAGCTTCACCCAAACAGACCTGTTTCTCTTGCGGGAAGATCGGTCATATTGCGAAGCGCTGTACATGGAAAAGAAGAGATACACTTACGGCCACTAGAAACGTCATACGTTGCGAAACGAACAAAGAAACACAAAGACCACAACAAAAACGTCAACAGCAGAGGCAGTCAAAAAAGCAACCGCAACAACATCAGGAGCAAACTAATGATGAAATAACAAATTATAAAAGTATTGACAACATCAGCTCCTCAAAATATGATCATAAATCTTCGGGTGAGACTCTACCACCCAGATCGTCCAATGCCGAAAATTTTTCGGAGAGCCTCAAAACTTCTGCGAAGCCGTCGACAGCAAGACAAGTTCCGGTAGAATTTCCGTCAACATACGCGTCCTTAACATCGTCGACAACCAATGAAAGAAGTCAACAACCAATGAAAGAAGTCACACAGTTTCAGAAAGCTTGTCAGTGGCGTGTGTAACGTTGGAACACTCATCCCTTAAGCTACTGAAGGACAACAACTTCACCTGGCACAAGTACAATTCTTACCGAGCCAAGTGCCTCAAGGATCGTCGGAAGGTTGGGATCGGGCAGTCTACAGAAATGAACACTCTTTTCAGGTTTTGGTCATTTTTTCTTCGTCACCACTTTCACCAAAAAATGTACGAGGAGTTCAGGCAACTTGCCATTGAAGATGCCAATAAAGGGTTCAGGTATGGCTTGGAATGTCTGTTTCGGTTCTATAGTTATGGTTTGGAGAAAAGATATCGACCTGACTTGTTTGAGCACTTCCAAGAGGAGACCATCAAAGATTATCAAAATGGCCAGTTATATGGCCTGGAAAAGTTCTGGGCTTTCCTCAAATATTCAAGGAAACATGTGCTGGTCGATGGCTCAGAAAGTATCAGAGGCTGGAGGATTTCAAAGTTGAGCCCCTTCTCGGTTCGGGGCCAAGTTTCCATCTCAACAGTCAAATGCAACCCCAATGAATTATATGACCAGAGTCAGACAGGACTCAGAAAGATCAGATCCATCAAAGAATAGAAGTGGTGGCCAACATCACCAGCAACATCAGATGCGAAGCTGTGCCAATGCCAGACTATACAATGCCCGAGTTAAAGAGGCACAAAGATTACTTCAGTTTTGGCAATTCTAAAATTCCGATCATGGATTTGCATATCCAAAATCAAGAGTATAATACACAATTCTATTATCATCCAGGTGCACGTAATGTTGCCAAATTTTCCTCCAGGATATAAAAGTCAAGAAATATTTATTGCATTTTCGGACATTGATTTTTGTTTTGTTTAGTTTTTATTTTTGTATGTGAGATGAATGTTACATTCATCCTCCTAGGCGTTGGAGGTATGTAATGGAAATTGTTCCATTACATGGTCACGTGGGCTAGTTACTAGCACAAAGCACGTGTGCTTACCTAGGGGAGAGCGTCGTATGGTCACGTGGGTTGGCTACTAGACCAAAGTACAAGCGCTTACCTAGGAGAGAGCACCGTGCAAGTCTATAAATAGCCTACGCAAATGAGTTAAGCCTCTTTCTTTTCTGCGGCTCTTGTACCGGAGTCGACATTGGTAAAGTTGGTTATTGTATCGTTGCATTTTCGTTAATTTGATTCATTCGATTAATTATTTAGTTAGGTTTTAATAAAGGAGGATTAATAATATATCTGTCGTTGCGTTTAGTTAATATCGAACCCGTTACACCTCTTCTTCAACTACACTACTTAAAAGATGCACAGTGCAGTTGGTGTACGTTTTGCAACTAACCTCTTTTCCTCCTTCTTCCAGTTCATGTACCCCTTGAAAATTAGAAATAGATGACGAAAAATTACAAATATGCAGAAAGGGAATATTAGATTTGAGGCAATGTTTATTACAGTGGTACCTGCAAATTATAATACATTATAAATGATATATCTATACCTCGTGCCAGCGAATTGTTTTTAACAATTGCAACACTTTCATCATGAGTAGCTTGCCGTTTTGATTCATTGATGACATCAGTGTTCTCTACCTGCTGCAAAAAACATTGTATGTTAATTATATTACCCTGCAGTATCTTTAGGATATCATCTCTGTTGCTCCGGACGATTGTTTGGTTATCATGCAACCACTTGGCTAAGGCGTTGTTGTTACATGTTATTATGCTCTGTAGGTTCTGTAAAGATTCATCGTTGCCTTTGGGACCATTTTCGGTTAAACCTAAAAAGCATCTATTCTTCCGCAATAAGTCATGCAATCTGTGAATTTCAATTTTTTAATGTTATCACTGGTTTTGTTACATTTTCAATAGTGCATTTCGATTACTGAAGTTTTTTTTCGCTTTAGGCTCCTGCAAGCTTGGCCAAACCAACTCTGTTCATCCAAACAAGACTGTAATTTAATAAAAATGTTGATTCGTTTAATGAATAATATGCATTGCACAGTAATTGAACTATAGTTTTTTTAGCGCGTGAACATTTAAATTTACAAAAAAAAACAAAATATTTTTGTAATTTAGCTCAAAATTAACAAATATTAATGAAATTGCAGCAAAAGTGAAATTTAAATATTTTAAATTGCAAAAAGATCGTGATAACTATAATTGTGAAAAGTGCAGATCAATATCGCTAACGTATAGTTATCGTTTAACATTTATTTTTGTGGCTTCGTATATTTTTTAGTTATAAAAAAAAAACCTTTAGTAACTTTTTTCTGCCTATGCCACTTTTTTGGACGTAACTCATAAATTTATCAATAAAGGAATCCATCGCAAAACTCGCAATTATAAGAAAAATAGTTTCAAAAATTGTTTTGAAAACAAGCGCTGAAAAAGGACGCTGTACAAAAGCGAACTTTTACCCAACAAATTTTAAATTCACTTATTGTTAATTTTAGTGTTGCCAAATTATGAAGCTATAAATTTAGATCTATTTTTGTTCTTATTATATATAATTATTTTTCCGTGCCATGATTATGAGTATTAAACAATTTGTGTGTATAGCAATTATTGACATTATATACGTTTCAGTTCAATTATACACATGTTTAACTATATCCATGTTAAGAAACCACGTTTTTCACTTCTATGTTGGCCATTTTGTTACGTGCTGTCAGGGTTAAATTTATTAAACTGTTCGCTGTCAAGGTTAAATTTATTAAACTGTTCGAACAATGTCTATTTCGTTGTTTGGCGACAATTATGTACGTAGAATGGAAATTTAAAAAAAATGAACAATGACGTCATTACCCACGGTGATAAACGTGCCATATTGAAGGGAAAGCCTGGTGGGAGGATCGGAGGGTTGATTAACTTCTTCCGGAAGCATACCATTCCTATCGAAACGATAATCCTTTACATCGGAAGTTGATTCATTTGTTTAATAAATAGTTTAATGTTGGTTCATTTTTTATTATTCTTTTAATATAATAACAGTTTTGTTTCATTGCTAATTATTAATATTAAATACCAGGCAATGATTTGACTACTGAAACCCCGGAACTCGTGGCCGCGAGATATGAATCCTTACTCAGACTGACAGACCTAACAAAATCAGACCGCGCCGAATAATTATATTAAGCCTGGTTTATAGAAAAGACGTTCAGAAATGGAAAGTTGATAAACTAAATGTCTCATCGAAACAATTCCAGTCTAACATTGTCCATTTCTGGAAACTTGACAGAGTGGGAGGAGATAATAATATAGGACCTGACGGCATCCACCTGAAAGAACGTGGAATGATGAACTTTAAGAGAAACATCATTTATTCTCTAAAGTGCACGAAATAAATTTTTAACATTTGTGAAGTTTTTTTTAGCGCGCATCTGGAATGAATGGCGCAAGTGTGTATGTTGGCGCGCATGTTGTATGAAGTGGTCAGGTGGGCAGGCTGGTCGAATGTCGTATGAGTTGGTTTTGTGTGCAGGTTGGTAGAATATGGTATTAATTAGTGAATGTTGGCATGGTATGGCGTATATATAGTGAGTATGTTTGAGAATGAATGAATGGACAATTGTTTTAAAGAAGGAAGGAAAGTTAGGGTTTTAAGTTAGTGTTTTGGATTAGTGTTTTGAATCAATTTTTGGGTTTGTTGTGGTTGGTAATTGGTCGGTCGATTCCTGCATGTTTGGTTGCTCTGGCGTTTTTTTTGTTTTGGAATTTCATTCATTATTACGGCTGGTAAAAATATTTTTCGTTTACTAAGAATATTTAATTTAGTTCTGTCGTTGACTTCAAAAACATTTGAATTAAAGAATATTATAAGTCAATATTATTTTGTTTGTTTTATTTTTGTTTATTTATTTAGAATTATTTCATTTAGGTTTGGTTTGTCACTTTAAAAACTAAAAATTATTTGAAGGAGACTTGCCAGCGGTTAATAGGGCCAGATTAACCGACCAGCAAGCAGGCACGATAGGAGCCTTAACGAAACTTTCCCAAATTTTTTGGTGACAGGGCTGGTTCTACCAAAATATTTTCAACAGTCAGATAGGTCAACAGTCAGTACCGGAGGCAGTTGTTTGTAAAACTTCTCCAGGATTTTCAGGTAATGGGTTTAACGACGCACAGAAAATTTTCATTTTCAAGTCTGCGGAATTGGCGCCAGAACAAGTTTTACCAGCTTATAAGCCTACGCCAGCACAAAGGCTCTCTGTTATTCGTAAACGTAATAATGTTTCAAATTCCTGGAATAGGTGCAGAATGGTTCAAGAGGATGAAGGAATCGAACACAGTCTTTCGTTCGACAACCACGGAGAATCACCGCATCGTCAGCCGAGTGTAAACACCAAACATCACAGGTTGGTCCGACATCACGAGCTGTTAAAACCAGACAAGTTTGATGGCACTGGGTGTCTAAAAACTTTTCTTAAGAAGGTCGAGTTATGTGCTATGTATAACCAATGGAGTATGGACGACATGGTAGCGTATCTGTCATGTTCGTTGACCGGTGAAGCTGCTGAAATTCTTTGGGACTTAGTGGGACTAGGTTATCAAAAATTAGTAAAGAAGCTAGAAAACCGTTATGGAACGAGTGGTCACGAAGAGTCGTATAGATATGAGTTGCAGACTCTTCGGCGCAAACCAGGAATTATCACAAACGGTAAAAAATTAATGTCGTTAGCTTCCCCGGGCGAACAGTCAAAGTTGGCGGTACATTTAACAAGAGATTTTTTTTATTTGCTCTTACTGACGCTGATTTCAAACTGAAAGTTAGAGAAAGGGAACCAAGAAATATTGATGATTCGTTACTAGTTGCACAGCGCCTTGAAGTTTCAAAAAACTTAGTTAATTCATCCTACAGGTTATCCCACAGTTAGGAACATGCAGGATACAACAGAAAACAGGATGAAGACAGTGGAGCGGCAAATAAACGCGCTTCGTCAATCGGTTGACGTCATTCAAGACCATAAGGTACAGTCAGCTGTCCCTCGGATCAGGGGTGAAAAGGTTTGTTTTGGCTGTGGAAAACCAGGACACTTCATCTCCCAATGTCCTCAGAAAAATATACTAAACAAGTTTCAGTCAAGTATCACCCCGTCCTCAATGGTTGACGTCGCGAGGGTCACACCTACCAAAAGATCGCTGAAGGCCGCTAACAATACAGAGATTTCAATTAGGGATGCACCGGATTCAGGTTTTTCAAATCCGGCCTGGGCCGGACTTGGCCGGATTTAAAATTTAAAAACCGGCCGGAGCCGGATTTTAGTTACCATTTTACATACGTTAGAAAAAATACATTTACGGTTATCTATATGTTGAACATCAAAAAATAACACCAAGCAAATAATTAATTAATTCAAATATATGAATAAGCTGTGTGATACGCCAAATTCTGTACACAAAAATCAGCTTATAATTTATGCATATTTGCATAACCCATGTTAAAGCACAAAGAAAATTGTCCAGCTCACCGCACAATTAGTGATGTTGTAATTATGTGTCATGTATACCTAGCCTAACCTTTAACATACCATGTTCTTAAATTATGCGCTTATGTATCTCTCTCTCTCTCTCTCTCTCTATATATATATATATATATATATATTATGTAGCTATATGATCCGTCATATACAATTATGTAGTATATAAACGTGCACAAGTTCTTTTACACAAAGATCAGCTTATAATTTACCATAACCCATGTTACAGCATAAAGAAAATTGTCCAGCTCACCTCACAATTAGTGATGTTGTTATTATATGTCATGCATGCTTAGCTTTTAACTTATTGACATAAAATTAATTGAATTCAATAAAAATATTTTTCTATTTATAACATTTTTAAATGTTGATAGACGCTTAAATCCGGCCCTAAATCCGGCCACCAAATTCGGCCGGGGCCGGATTTGAAAAAAAGCCGGATTTTGGCCGGAGCCGTGGCCGAACTTTAGTGCATCCCTAATTCCAATGAAGGGGGAAATGAGACTATGGATAAAGGTTGGTGGATCTTCTAAGCTTGCTTCGGTTTTGGTATCAGACCACGTGTCAGAAATTATCTTGGGTTTAGATTGGCTAGTAAATAATAAAATCTCATGGAAGTTTGACGAAGCTCAAATTAACGTTGGTAGCAAAAATAGAACAGTAAAGTTGGTTACTAAAAGATTGTCAGAGAGGCGATTGTGCCGAATCTACTCCATTTTGGAAGTGCAAATTCCAACAAAATTGGTGGTACGCAAGCCATCCAAATTAACATTGACAAATTGCGTATGTTCTGAGGCAGAGCAAGTGACGTCGGGTGTATTTGTTGCTAGAACGTTGCTTCCGATAAAATAAAAGGGTCAATGCGTCAGAATATTAAACTTAAATGACAAATCCAGGTTGATTAAATAGGGAACGCGGTTGGCCAACCTTTCATGGGCCATGGTGGAAAACAAGTTAGGGTTAGGGTTACTACTTAACGTCAAAACCATAATTGACGAATTGACCAGGGATGCCCCGGAAGAAGGAAGGCATGAATTATCTGAATTATTAAATAATTTATTTAGTATTACAGGTACAGAAATTGAAGTTGCATAAGGGGTTTATCATAGGATCAACACAGAGCAGGCCCGGCCAATTACGCAACAACTTAGACGTCATCCCCCGGCACACCAAAACGTTTTCGCAGAACAGGTAGACGAAATGTTGGAGCAAGATGTGATTGAGCCATCTCATGGGCTTTGGTCCTCCAACATTGTCTTGGTAAAGAAAAAAGACGGCTCATACCGATGTTGTATTGATTACCGGAAATTAAATTTGCTAACAGTAAAGGACGCGTACCCACTTCCAAGAATAGACATGTGTCTAGACGCGATGTCTGGTGCGCGGTGGTTTTCTACTCTGGATCTTGGATCATCTTATCACCAAATAAAAATGCATCCAGATGATAGGGATAAAACTGCTTTCGTCTGTAACATTTTTAGGTTCAAACGAATGCCGTTTGGGTTATGTAACGCTGGCGCTACTTTTCAGCGCTTGATGGATATAGTGCTTTCGGACTTGTGCCCGAATACATGTTTGGCATACATCGATGATATAATTGTATACTCTAATAACTTGCAGAATCATTTTTCAGGTTAAAACAAGTTTTTAGCAGGCTGAGAAACACAGGACTGAAAGTTAAGATAGAGAAATGTAGATTCCTCAAGGAAGCCGTTACATTGTTGGGGCATATTATCTCTTCGAAAGAAATAGCAACAGATCCGTCAAAAACGGAGGCTGTTCGGGACTGGCCCATACCAACTTCTTTGCCGGATGTTAGAGAATTTTTAGGTTTGGCTGGATATTATCGTCGTTTTGTTCATGAATTTTCACAATTGGCAAAACCGTTGAACTTTCTCATAAGGAACAAACAAAAATTCAGCTGGGGATTTTAACAAAAAGCTTTCGAAAATTTGAAGTCTGCGTTGACAACCGCACCGATTTTAGCTATGCCACAGGACGATGAATCTTTTGTTCTGGACACGGATGCTTCTCAGCAAACTATTGGAGCAGTATTGTCGCAGTTGTAGGATGGCAAAGAAAAGGTAATTGCGTATGCTAGTCGGACCCTGAGTCAAGCTGAAGATAATTATTGCACCATGCGAAAAGAGTTGCTAGCAGTCGTTTATTTTTTAAAATATTTCAAGCAATATTTGTTGGGTAGGCATTTTACCATCAGAACGGATCATGCACCGCTGACATGGTTGAGAAACACACCCGATCCTATTGGTCAACAGGAAGCAAGATGGTTAGAACAAATGGAGGAATTTGATTTTAATATTACAGATTTTAATACCACAGGGCAGGTACGAAACATGGTAATGCAGATGCCATGTTTCGGAAACCGTGTAAAAAAGAGTTCTGCAAGCCAGAAACACCAGAAACACGAGCGGTGAAACTGGTTAAAGAAGCAGACGAATTTATTGACCTGAGAGAGGGTCAATATGCGGATAAGACAATCCAGGTTTTTGTTAAGTGGCTGCAGGAAAATGCTGCCAAACCGCCATGGGACAACATATCAAGTGAGGATAGGACGTTCAAAACGCTTTGGAACCTATGGGACCGTCTAGTGATTAAAGACGGAGTCTTATGCAGACGGTTTGAAATAACAAAGACTGGAGATATGGTTTGGCAGGCCTGGGTGCCTGCAACTATGATTAACTCTGTATTATTAATTGCCCATACAGGAATGACAGGTGGACATTTAGGAGTGAGTAAACTGAAAGAATCCGTTCAACGAAGGTTTTACTGGCCAACATGGAAAACTGACGTTGAGATGTTTGTCAAGACATGCGAGAAATGCAGTCGGTATTACCGGGGTAAGCCACCACGGCAAGCAAAAATGAAAATAATGTTGTCGGGCATGCCATGGGAAAGGTTAGCTCAGGACATCACTGGGCCACATCCAAAATCGAAGAAGAGACATATCTTTATACTAACGATTTTGGAACATTTTACAAAGTGGACAGAAGCATTTCCGATACGAAAGCACCCAGCAACTACAGTGTCTAAGATCTTAACCACAGAAATTTTCCCGAGATTTGGAATGCCGCTGCAAATACTCACAGATCAGGGTAGGGAGTTTGAAAGCGAACTGTTTACCACCCTTTTACATACTTTGGGAATCGAAAAGTTGAGAATATCGCAGTACAATCCATCATCTAATGGGGCGATAGTTTATAGTTTATAGCTTTCGAACTGCCCAATGAAGTAAACCAATCAAAACAGGTCAGAGAGTGGGCGGACCGAAGCGACGATAAAGCCCATCAAGAAAAATCACTAGGGTCAGTGCCCATGTCAAGTCGCATAGAAGTCGCAGGCAAAAGTTTAGCCGACACACCATGCTCAGCTGCCAGACCTACGCTGGTGGACTGGATATTGGAAGGCCAGTTTTACGAGGGTGAGAAGCTTTTTCCTATAGACCAGGCGGTTTCGACTATCAGCACACCAGAGTGGGCAAAAGAAGATGATGATCTACTCGTCTCGACAACAGGCACAGCTGCACAGGGCCTGGAATTAATGGCGATTAACTTCCCCAACTTAAACGAAAAGCTTTGAAAGCAAACGTCGGGACGACGTTCGATGGGGTGGGGGATGTTGTGAAGTTTTTTTTAGCGCGCATGTGGAATGAATGGCGCAAGTGCGTATGTTGGAGCGCATGTTGTATGAAGTGGTCAGGTGGGCAGGCTGGTCGAATGTCGTATGAGTTGGTTTTGTGTGCAGGTTGGTAGAATATAGTATTAATTAATTAGTGAATGTTGGTATGGTATGGCGCATATATAGTGAGCATGTTTGGGAATGAATGTTTCCTCAGTTTGTTTAGAATTTGTTTAGTATATAAACCTTTTGGACAATTGTTTTAAAGAAGGAAGGAAAGTTAGGGTTTTAAGTTAGTGTTTTGGATTAGTTTTTGGGTTTGTTGTGGTTGGTAATTGGTCGGTCGGTTCCTGCATGTTTAGTTGCTCTGGCGTTTTTTTTGTTTTGGAATTTCATTCATTATTACGGCTGGTAAAAATATTATTCGTTTACTAAAAATATTTAATTTAGTTCTGTCGTTGACTTTAAAAACATTTGAATTAAAGAATATTATAAGTCAATATTATTTTGTTTGTTTTATTTTTGTTTATTAATAGGGGAGAAGGTGGTATTATAAAACGGGGTTGTAATATGAAACAGCAATTTTTTCCATGAAGATTTGTTATGACCTATCTATAATTGTTTTAATTATAAAGATTAAATTGTCTTTGGTCATTCTAAACAGCTGGCGCTATTGTAAATGCGTTCTGCAAATTACACGAAATTGTTTCCGAAGTTCAAACATTTTGATAGGTAAGATTTAAATTTTTTTTTGTACTTATATGAGTAAATAATATATATAATTATTTATTTTGTCATTTCGTAGATATGTTAAACTTAAAAATTTCTTGAATAGTTATTTAAAATCATACTTTGTAAATTGTAATTATTGGGCTTGTTTTTAAAATGGCGATTGGTGGTAATATGAAACAGACTGTTCCATAATACAACCTTTTATATTTTTTTAGGTATCATGCCGAGAAACAAATTGGGACCGCTAAAATAGGGGTTACGACAGATAGAGGTAGAAAAGCCTTATCAGCTACTATCATAACCAGTTCTCCATATAAGGCTACCTTGAAATCGTCAAATGATAAAAAATAAGCTAAACCAATTTCGAAGAAAAAAAGGGGACCACAT